GTGGGACAAACCGAGAGGAAGTGGTCCCTGACTACGCGAAGGGAGTCAGGGAGACGGGTGACTATGTAGTAGAGGGTGATGTACATGGGGGGGGGGTTCTTGGCGCAGAACTCAGCAGGAAGCGCAGCGCGGTAGCGAGTGTCACTAGAGCGGAGGTGCGTAATGAGGTCAGCGACTGTGGGAAAGGTAGCAAGGTCAGGGAAGAGGTACGGTAGCATGAGGCGGCTCAGTGCAGCAGTGGCAGGGGAGGAGTAGCGTGCAACTACAGCGTCGTACAAGGTCTGAGCACTCTTGTACTGGCTAAAGTGCGCACGCTCAGAGGTAGGGAGGTGGCGACGCACAGCAAGACGTGCAGCAGCATCGCGCGTGGCCCACTGTGAGCGAACGGTGGCGTCAGCATCAGCAGCGGGGGCAGGAGAGGCACCAGAAGTGAGGTCAAAGAGGGAGAGGCCGTCTGCTCTGTCGCACTGTAAGAAAAGCTGCAGGTCATCTATCCAGACGTCAAAGTCAATGGCTCGACCCTCAGCGTCAAAAGCGAGGACACTAGGGGTAGCCATGACAGCAGTAGACTAGCAGTGCAAACAGTAGGGCGAGGGCAGTGCTGTGAGAGAGGCGCTGCTCTTACCGGACAGGGCGGTTCGGGCGGCTCGGCTGCAGGGCGGCTCGGCGGCTCGGCGGCTCGGCGGCTGGGCGGCTCGGCGGCGGGGCGGCTCGGCTGCTGGGCGGCTCGGCTGCGGACAGGGCGGCTCGGCGGCTGGGCGGCTCGGCGGCTCGGCTGCTGGGCGGCTCGGCTGCTGGGCGGCTCGGCTGCTGGGCGGCTTGGCTGCTGGGCGGCTCGGCGGGGCCGCTGAGAGGGCGGCGTCCGGGACCACTGGGAGGAGGCGGCGGGGCCGCAAAGGTAAGTGGCGGGGCCGCGGAGGTAGGTGGCGGGGCCGCGAAGGTAGGTGGCGGGGCCGCGAAGGTAGGTGGCGGGGCCGCACAGGTAGGTGGCGGGGCCGCGGAGGTAGGTGGCGGGGCCGCACAGTGAGGTGGCGGGGCCGCGAAGGTAGGTGGCGGGGCCGCACAGGTAGGTGGCGGGGCCGCGGAGGTAGGTGGCGGGGCCGCACAGTGAGGTGGCGGGGCCGCGAAGGTAGGTGGCGGGGCCGCACAGGTAGGTGGCGGGGCCGCGGAGGTAGGTGGCGGGGCCGCACAGTGAGGTGGCGGGGCCGCGAAGGTAGGTGGCGGGGCCACACAGGTAGGTGGCGGGGCCGCACAGGTAGGTGGCGGGGCCGCGGAGGTAGGTGGCGGGGCCGCGGAGGTAGGTGGTGATGGGCGCGACGGGCGCGACGGGCGCGACGGGCGCGACGGGCCGAAAGGCGGCGCGACTCGGGCCGGCGCAAAACGCGCTCCGGGCAGGAAAAAAAGAATTCGTGGTGGTGGGCCCTAGGAATCGTTCCCATTAGGGAACCTGCTCGATACCATGAGAAGAAACGAGGAATGAATGACTAAGGAAAAGTTGGGTACAAATGTAAACCCTAGAAAACTGTACCCCATATGTGCTACCCCACTATAGCCTACAGTAGCTATGTCATATAAATCTGACAGTATGTCCCGCTGAATTCCGCCATGGCTTCGCCAGCCAGGCGGCCTACACAAGAATCTTGAATGAAAAAAATGAAAGAGACGGTGAACAAATGGGCAACGAAGGGGACCTCGTAAGGTTGGCGCCTCGGGGTCCTCGTCAATGACAGGCGGGGAAACCCCCGCCTACCCCCGTAGAGGACCCTGCGTGGCAGCATAATCGCTGCGCTGGCAGGGAATATTCGCCACCCTTCGAGAGGGTTCGGGGGAAATGCAGATGCCACGCAATGCATGCGACTGTGATTGGGCCGCACGGCAACATCCCCGTCACTGCTGTCACGATCGATGGTTCTAGACAAAACTGTGCGGTGGGAAACCGAACCGCTGTTGTTTTTGTCTGAAAACCATGCACGATCCCACGTGTTGCATGGTCGGTTGAATTCGCCTTATTGCGGGCTTCAATTTGGTATGTTTAAAAGTGAATTTTTTTTTTTCCTATTACAAGCGCATGCGCTTATAGAAATGACTCGATTAGAAGCGCACCCCCCTAAAAAACACTGCTTTATTATAAGCGCACCTGCGCTTCTATCCGGGGTAATACGGTACAAGGTGGTTCAGCAACTCTTATTAAAACGCTTCCGCAACTACAACATCTCTACTTCAACCACAGATCTTAGCCTTGAAAATATCCTAAGGGCTTTTCTCAGCCCAACAGTTCATGTGTATGTGTCTTCGTACAGAAGCTCGACACGTACATTCTGGACATGTCACGTCTGGAATGTACCCACAGTCAAAGATGTTTATATTTGTATCACTAATTCTCAAACCATCCATGCATCAGCGTTTCATGACGACTCTGCTCAGAATGTTTTTCCTTGTTCTCAAGCACTTGTTTTGCATGTATTTTGGAATCTGGATCAGGTTCTCTGTATCTTGTTTTATATATGGAGCTGGTAGTGCAATCTTTATAACAGATCAGTAATGGTTCTTCAGTTCACTCGCCGCATCTCACGGGGAACATGATTTTCAATGAGTGTGACGCGTTCAGAGCTGGGACGTCTTTAGCATTCAGCAGAACAACCGAACTCGGTTTTCGTTCATTGTCGCAAATTTCGCAACCATCACATTTTAGGCTGACCCTAACTATGTGTTTAATGAAATCGCCCATATTTTGTTGGGGTCGAGCACAACAGCGCTGCTGAGGCACAGGACGCTGCTGAGGCATTGTTTGCTACAATGCCGAACATCCTGCTTCGATCGTTTTCTACTTCGACCTTTGCTCCCGTGCAGAGCTGCCCTTCGTTACAGGAGCACGAAACCCTCGCTGGTAGCGCGCTAAACTTGGCGAAAATTGCTTGCAAGTTACTGAACTGGACCGGCTGCTGGATTGGGACTGTGAACACGAACTCAGCTTGAATTCAAACTGATTGACCTCGCAAGGCCCTCTGGATCTCGTTTCTGCCACAAAGCTCCATAGGGACCGCTGAAACTACTTGTTCATTCGTCCGACTATTAGTCATCGCGAAATCTACTTGTTCGTTCGTCTTACTCTTAGTCATCGCGAAATCTACTTGTTCATTCGTCTTACTCTTAGTCATCGCGATCCACGACCAATGGCATTCTCTCAAGCCGTGGCACAAACGCCCATCCGATTCGGCCCCAGTTTATCCGCCATGCACCGCGGAACCTACTTGTTCATTGGTCCTACGATGCCTATCGCGATCCACAACCAATCAGATTCCCTAAAGCCGTGGCGCAACCGTCCCTCCGATTTGGCCCCGGTTATCCGCCATGTACTACCCTCGCACTTCAGTTTTGTATTTAATAGTCCTATTCGTTGATGGTAAGCACGCCTTCTATCTTCGCCTCTCCAAGTCTGATTCAACTAGATCACTAGAGCTACCACGACTACTAATAGTACCTCTTTTCCTGAGAATGGCGCGTCTAAGCGGAATTGCGGCTCTCTCTCTCCTGCTAGCCGTTGCCCTCGTTCTCTCAACGTATGCTTCGAAAGCGGTTGCCCAGCAGGTGGAGCGAACTTCGGATAGTAAGTTCCCCCTCCTCCTTTTCCCTCATCTAATGATGTATCCTGAATTCTTCGGCGTTCGCTATGCCTGCCCATTAGTCACAGCTGGGAGATTTCGTTTATCTGCAAGGCTGTGTGTTGTTGCTGCTGACTCAAAAACTACCCCCAATCCCCGAATTTTGTCGTCCTTTCGAGTGGGCTGCAGATAAATATTCATGTGCTGATGTGAGGAAGGGCCAAGATACGTTTCTATCCCAGTATTGCAAGAGCACATTCTCCTCTTGCGACTCGTCGACGTACAAATACTATAATGATGATTGCAAACGAGCCCCTGATAGTAAGTACGCTGCTACCCACGGGACACTAATGATGGCTTAATAATGGCATGATGACGACTAGTACATCCTACTTGCCCTGCATCATGTTACCACATCATGTTGTCACATCATGCCAATGTCTCAAAATGCAATCTAGTTTATTCTTTTGTCACAAACTGTCACAATTCAATACCTCATGCTATCACATCTTCTCACTTGCCAATCTGGTTACTAACCCTCGCCTTTTCCGTCACATCCTGACTGGCCCCCGACGTTTATGCCCTTCTCAGGTGGAAGTACCCTCGGTTTTTGGTTTAAAAGGTTCTACTATCAGCTGAAACCTTGAAAGGCTCCAGCTCATCACATGAGGGGGCAGCGGCGGTGTTCATCACATCGTTTAGATCTAGGGTTTCGGGTTGAGACGAGACGGCCTGCGTTGCTTGTGAAAGTAGTTTGTATGGTGAGTCGTGAGCGGTCGACGCGCAAATGCGTATACCCATCATGCTTTGTTCACATAGCTGTTGTGTAAACCATTATTACATTATAATTGGTGGAAGTTATCTGGAATAAAACAAGCTAGCATTAAAGCCCGAGTCTTGAATGGCAATGGTTCAAGTTCAAGATTCTTGAAGCTGAAATCGCAAAAAACAGGGTAACCCACTTTGGAACTGCGAGGCACTCGCGACCACGGGAAACTGTTTTTGGTTGGGGGATTCTGATTAGCTGAGATCAACACAGGCAAAATTATCAACCCTCTCGCCACAAAAGCCAACCCAGCATGCCACTGTTCATACATCTGCAAACTTGAACGTCGAGCTTACCATAGTAGACTCGATAACTAGGTGCCTCCATAGCTTACTCACTCCCGCCCGTCCGTCCCGTCTCTCCCGTTCGTCTTGTGTCCCCCGTCAGACCCGTCACTCCCATCCTCTCACAAAGTCACACAATCGAGTCACCTTCCTACTCAAGACTCCCGCCGTAACACACAAGGGGCCTTGACAATGAGCTCTTGTGAGCGGAGTCAACGACCATTCCGACCGTAGGCGGAAGGGGCACTCCCAACCAACCTGTCGCGGTCAATGTCACTTCCGTTCCCAATGCCGTTCCCATCGTCGAGGCGGTACCGTTGCCCTTGCCTCCCCTCCCATCGACGCCTATTCGTCGCCCTCCCTTCCCCTTACCTTCGCGCTCGCTTCCCCTGCCCGTCGCGCTCCCGTCTCCTGCCCGTCGCGCACCCTGCCCCGCTCCCTCGCTTCCCCTGCCCGCCGCGCTTCCTTCTCCTGCCCGTCGCGCTCCCTTACTCTGCCCCGCGCCCTCGCTTCCCTTGCCCGTCGCGCTCCCTTCTCCTGCCCGTCGCGCTCCCTTCCCCTGCCCGTCGCGCTTCCTTCTCCTGTTCGCATCGCTCCCTTCTCCTGTTCGTCGCCCTCCCCTGCTCGTCGCGCTCCCTTCTCCTGTTCGTCGCGCTCCCTTCTCCTGTTCGTCGCGCTCCCCTGCTCGTCGCGCTCCCTTCTCCTGTGCGTCGCGCTCCCTTCTCCGGCCCGTCGCACTCCATTCCGACACAAGGCAAGCATGTGCACCAACCATCCTCCCACAGATCCAATCATGCCTTGGGCAAGTCCACATCTGTGAGATGCAATGATTTTGCATCCCCCTGCAACTCCTTTGCCCCTTCCCCCTCCCACCTACCCCCTCTCCCCTCCCCTTCCCCCCCTCCCCACTGGGAACCCCGGTGTGTGTGTGCCTAGCTGCCATGGGGAACCCGGCCGCGCCCGCACCCTCACCGCCGCCCTCCAGGAGCACAGCCAGCCGGGCGGCACACATGCCAGCTGGCAGGAGCAGTGCCTCACTGACACATTGATTGGCACCCTGCTCATTCGCCCGGGGGAGAGCATGAAGGGGGGGAATGGGAGGGAAATGGGGGGGGAGAAAGGGGAGGGGATGGGGGGAGGAAGTAGGTGGGGAATTGGAATGGGAATGGGGGGGTAGGATATGGGGGGAGTGGAAGACAATGGTGGAGCGCCATCAGCGTGGTGGCGTGGCGGTGGAAGTGGGGGGCAGCAGCAGAGCAGCATAGGGTGTGAGGTCGGAGGGCAGTCTGCCCTCTGTCGACTGCTACTTCCACGCCCTCTCCCACGCCTCCTCAGGTATGGGCCAGGGGGTGAGATGGGCGGCGTGGGGTGGGCACTCCCAGGTGGGATGGGCGGTCCCAGGTGTGCATGTAAGGGTTTTCCGCAGCAAGGGCCTTTCTGCCTTCCCGCCTCTCTGCACCCCCCCATTCCACCCCAACCTCCTGCCACGCACCTCACCTCATGCACTCCCTCCCTCCCTTTCCCCCCTGTCTTTCCCTCCGTTTCCCCCCTTGTCTCTCCCTCCCTTCACCCTTGTCCTCCCCTCCATTTCGCGCCTGGTACCTCCCTCCCTTTCTCCCGTGTCCTTCCCTCCGATTTCCCACTACTTAGTCCCTCAACTAGTTAGTCCCGTGTCATGCGAGCATGTGTGACACTTGCAGGTGCCAAGCCCACGTGTGTGTGTTTCCCACCTACTGTGCTGCTAGCTACTCCCCCCTGCACTGCACCTGCCTCTTCTTCACCAGCCATGTGCTTCCCCTAGTGCCTCCCCATGTGCCTTACTATGTGCCTCAATCCGCGTTTCCCCTCTGCCTTTCGTCGGCCCTGTCCGTTGGCACCTCCTCAGTCGTGCGCCTCCCCACCACCTCCCCATTCCCAGCCACCCTCTGTCCCCCATCGTTCTGCCCATCTCTCCGCGTGACTGCCCGGGTGGGTGTGGGGAAGATGGCGAGTCAGGTGGAGCGTTGACGCGTCGTGGCGGCACACACAGCAGGCCAGCCCGCACCAGAGCTCGTCCCTCTCTCACGCCCGTCCCTCTCTCACGCCCGTCCCTCTCTCACGCCCGTCCCTCTCTCACGCCCGTCCCTCTCTCACGCCCGTCCCTCTCTCACGCCCGTCCCTCTCTCACACCCTTCCCTCTCTCACACCCGTCCCACTCTCTCTCCTGTCGCTCATTGGCTCCCATAACCCATTCTCCTTCGCTCCGTTTCCCCCCTTGTTCGCCCCCCCTCCCCCCCTTCGCCCATGTCCTTTGCTCGCTCTGTCATCTTGCTCACCCTGTCCTCTTGCTCACGTTGTCCTTTGCTGTTTCTGTCATTTGCTCGCACTGTGAGCTGCTCACTCTTCCATCTCTGCCCCTGCCACCCCTAGACTGTCTACAACTCTCCTCGGTGTCCCTCTATGCCGCTCTGTTGCATACCTCGTTGCCGTTCTCATCCCATTCCCTCCATTCTTGCGATCGCTATCCTTGGCCCGTTACACCCAATCCCGCTTTTCTCCAAACCGCCCATCCCTCGTTCGTCTCATGTATGGACTCACGGCCCATATCCACTCCCCCCCTTCTGCAGAGTTATCACCACATCACACCCAGGACTTACGGCCCACGACATGCATCTGCATCCCCACTTCTCTCCATCCGTCCGTTGAGAAGAAGAAAATTGATTATGTGCACTGGATTAGCCGCACGATTTTGTGCTGCGGCAATGACAGGGTTGGAGCAAGCACGTGGGTCCATCCATGGTATAGGATGTAGTGCTGGTCTAGTATTGGCCAATGATGCCACCGAAACACACAGTACGGTACCGTACGTGATTTAGATATAGTTGTCGGTGTTAGAATCGTTCCAGATTTAGTATGGGTTTCTTTTGCTTGTGCATAGTTGAGTATGGATACCCGTCAACATCCTGTGCACCTGTATGTGGCAAGACAGAGAGTTAGGGTTGGCGTTGGATACATCCGAGGAGAGCCTGAACTGAAGGGAAGTTGTACCATGTCTTCTCTATTCCAACCCCGACATTTGTGTGTCATATTGGCTACCTAGTAACTGAAATAAAAAGGGAAAAAACAAAACACAGAATGCGCCCTAAAAGGATAGCAATATAGTCAGCATACTTCAGGACCCTCTGAAGGGTACGTTCACACCCGGATACTGTCGGCATTTGTCAAAGGGAAGCAAAAAGGTGATAGCGCGGGTCCTTGAAGTGGTGACAGCAGGGACGGGGGCAGGAGGGTCCGCACCACCGTAATACGGGTTGGATTTGACTTGAGAGGTTGGGAGGAGGTTGGTGAAAAGATCCTGGCGGGTGGGGGTGGGGCAGGGCAGAGAAGGTGGCAAGGAGGTAAGGGTACAGGAGAGAAAAACGAGGGGGGAATGGAGCAGTGACTCTCGATGACTAACGAACAGGGCCTGTGTTTGATTTCAGAAAAACCCTGATAGGTTGGGGGTGGGGCGCGACAAAGAGAAGGGAAGGGGAGGGAGAGTGGCAACGGAGGCAGTGAAGAAGAGGAGGATGGAGGCACATGAGGTGTGTGCAGTTTCAGATAGGAATGGTGAGTTGGTTTAGGTAACAGCAACAGGGATGAAGGGGCAAGATGTGGTAACGGAAAGGGGGAAAAAGGGAAGCTAAGGTAAGTTTCAATGATACGGTAAGTTTCATCATCACCAAAATGTTAATGTCCCAAACCTGTCCCCAAAATGGTCTAAGATCGAATCAGGTTGAGCTGACGGGCTTGGAGAGATGTGTCAAGAACTGAATGATGTCACTAAGGTTGGTTGGGGTACATAAACCTAACCGTAAGTGTTGTACCCCATATGACACACATCACTAAGACTATAACATCTGACACACCCCCATATCCTAAGTGAGGGGTGTCAAGCAAAACCAACAACGTACGGTCACAAGACCAGTCACAAAGTAACAAAACTCAAGGTGCATCACAATGTCACCACACACTCTGAGCACAAGCAAAAGAGCCACAAGGCCAGTTCAACAGTTCACAGAGGTATATATAAAGCGTACAAACAAAGAAAGCAGAGAACTCAAGACTACGCAAGGCGAGAACCTGTGTCAACGAGACCTAACTGCACACAACACATCTGGTGGTCACAAGGCGGAAGGGTCTTGGTGAAGATGTATGCAGTGTTGGCCTCGGACTCCACAAAGTCGAAGCGAGCCTGTCCACGCCTCTGCAACTCTCGCAGAAGAAAGTACCTGACATTGATGTGCTTCACTCTACTCTCCAGTCGCGGCTCTCGACAGAGGATAATCGAAGCCTTGTTGTCAGTGAAAAAGGTCGGTGCAGAGCTCGGCCGCTCACCAAGGTCGGTTAGCAGGAAAGTCAACCAACGCAGCTCCTGTGCAGCCATGGCTCCAGCGTAGATCTCAGCCTCAGCGGTAGAGGTCGAGACCAAGGAGGAACGCGTGGACCTCCAGGAAGCAGCTCCAGAGCCCACGCTGAAGCAGTACCCCTGACTAGACCTGTGAGTCTCGGCTTCGTCAGCGTAAGAAGAGTCACAATGTCCAGTAAGTACAACAGACTGTCTCCCTCCAAGAACCAGCCCCACGCCTGATGTCGTCGCTAGGTACTTCGCCACCCTCACAGCAGCTGTCTAGTGAACTGGACGGTGTCTCCCTTGCGCAACAAAGCGAGCAATGATGCTGAGAAGGAAGGCGAGGTCCGGGCGAGTACAAGTCATCAGGTACATGAGGCAGCCCACAAGCTCTGTGTAGGGACCACTAGGCTCAAACGGCTCGTCAGGAAAGGGTCCAGTGAGTCTGTGGTCAACAGCAAGAGGTGTGCGCTGTACTGTGGAGTGCTGAATCTCGAACCGCTGAAGGACCTGCTGCACCATGTGTGACTGTGAGAGTGTAATGGTGCGAGTGGCTCTGTCCCTGGTGATCTGCAAGCCAAGGTAGTGGCGCAGCTCACCAAGGTCAGTGCACGTGTGTCTCTTCTGCAGTTCGCGCTTCACGTCAGCCAAAGCAACCCTGTCAGCAGTGGCAAAAACCAGGTCGTCGACGTACACCAGTACAAAGAACGGTGTGGAGCCACGACGAACAAACAGCGTCAGGTCGGCAGAAGACGGCTGGAAACCGAGATCAGGCAGCGTAGAACGAAGGGTGTCGTGCCACTCACGAGGAACCTGACGGAGACCGTAGACCGGTCGCCTCAGCCTCCACTGGGTCCTAGGAGGGAAAGTGCCAGTGAAGGCAGAGGGACGGCACAACCAGACCTCCTCGTGTAGGATACCCTCAAAGAAGACAGTGGAGAAGTCGAGAGAGTGTAGCTCCTAGTCTCTCTGTGCTGCAACGTACAGTAACACCCGAAGAGTGGTCATCTTCGGGGTAGGCGCGAATGTCTGAACGAAGTCAACTCCCTCGCGCTGACTGAAACCTCTAGCCACATAGCGCGCCTTGAAGACCGGAGGAGATCCCGGTGGCCGCTTCACCCTGAAGATCCACGTGCCATCGACTATGTTCACCCCAAGGGGGGGAACCTCGTCGACGTAGGTGCCTGTGGATCTGTAGAAGGCCATCACTAAGTCCATGGTAGCTCTCCACTAAGAGGCCCAAGGCCCTGACACTGCCTCAGCGTAAGTGCGAGGAGTAGGTATGTCAAGGGCGTCGGGGACTCCCTCAGGGGTGAGCAGCATGGCACAGAGATGAGGGGAAGCGGCTGCCAGGAACTCCAGCTCAAACTGCCTTTCCTCTAGGGCGTCACAACCAAGGGCAGACTCACCCCCGATGGCCAGAGGACTGGTAGGAGGAGCAGCCACGAGACAAGTGGCGTAGTCAAGGCGGCGAGTAGTGGCGAACTCAGTGACGACGGCAGTAAGGGCGGACACAGAGGACAAAGAGGCACGAGGGTCCGTAACAAGAGAGACAAGAACACGAGAGAGAACAGGTCCATACATGCGGTAGTAGTCAGTGACAGGAGTAGAGCTGAACACACAAGTCTGAGAGCAAATCAGGTTGAGCTGATGGGCTTGAGGAGATGGGCTCAAGCACACGAGTCTGAGAGCGAATCAGGTTGAGCTCACGGGCTTGGGGAGATGGGCTCGAGCACACGAGTCTGAGAGAGAATGAGGTTGAGCTGACGGGCTTGGGGAGATGGGCTCGAGCACACGAGTCTGAGAACGAATGAGGTTGAGCTGACGGGCTTGGGGAGATGGGCTCGAGCACACGAGTCTGAGAGCGAATCAGGTTGAGCCGACGAGCTTGGGGAGATGGGCTCGAGCACACGAGTCTGAGAGCGAATCAGGTTGAGCTGACGGGCTTGGGGAGATGGGTTCGAGCACATGAGTCTGAGAGCGAATCAGTTGGAGCTGACGGGCTTGGGGAGATGGGCTCGAGCACACGAGTCTGAGAGCAAATCAGGTTGAGCTGACGGGCTTGGGGAGATGGGCTCGAGCACACGAGTCTGAGAGCGAATGAGGTTGAGCTGACGGGCTTGGGGAGATGGGCTCGAGCACATGAGTCTGAGAGCGAATGAGGTTGAGCTGACGGGCTTGGGGAGATGGGCTCGAGCACACGAGTTTGAGAGCGAATCAGGTTGAGCTGACGGGCTTGGGGAGATGGGCTTGAGCACACGAGTCTGAGAGCGAATCAGGTTGAGCTGACGGGCTTGGGGAGATGGGCTCGAACACACGAGTCTGAGAGCGAATGAGGTTGAGCTGACGGGCTTGGGGAGATGGGCTCGAGCACACGAGTCTGAAAGCGAATCAGGTTTAGCTGACAGGCTTGAGGAGATGGGCTCGAGCACACGAGTCTGAGAGCAAATCAGGTTGAGCTGACGGGCTTGGGGAGATGGGTTCGAGCACACGAGTCTGAGAGGAAATCAGATTGAGCTGACGGGCTTGGGGAGATGGGCTCGAGCACACGAGTCTGAGAGCAAATCAGGTTGTGCTGACAGGCTTGGGGAGATGGGCTCGAGCACACGAGTCTGAGAGCAAATCAGGTTGAGCTGAC